TTGCTGCGACCTGCGTCAGCGGTCAAGAATGAAAGATGACGTTCTGTACGCCAAACAGTCGAACAGTCGAAAGAGTAGAACAGCTCCCACGGATCTCCGTCATGTGAGCGATCTCGAGTCGGTTAATCGCAAGGCCGTGGCATGTCCCCAGGTGGCGGATAAGAAGTTAATCGCGGACCAAAACCGGCCTTTGCTTCCCTGAGACACAATTGGATCCAGGGGATGGACTCCCTTTTTCTGCTGCGCTGATCTGATCACATACTTTCTGTATTTGCTAGGCGTATTTATTTACGCGTGTGTGGGTGCGTTATAGTTCATGCGGATTATATTCTATGAGTCCATTCGGCCAAAAGCCTGCAGTCAAGTGACAGGGAAGTGTATGGGAGGCGGTTAGGAGTAGCCTCCAACAAATAAGTTTCTCGTCTACTCTGGGAAAGAATGGTAACCTACCCGTGATTATACCTAGTCCTCATGCTCAGAGCCCAGCAAACTAGCTATACGTGGATATCAAAATGCTAAACACAGTAAAAAAAAGTGGGCCTCATTCTCCTGAGCCCGAAAGAGCCCAATTTCGCAGCGTTCGGTAGGACGAGTCGAGCATCAGTAACTAGCAATATTAAAAGGATTAACTTTTTTTAAGCCACTAGATAGTTTACTGTCGTATTCTTGTGGTTGGAAGTGCCCCTGAGTGTTCAACTAGGATTTACATCCATCTCCCCTTAGATCCTCATAAAATGAGGATATAACATCTCAGCGACCAAACGCAGCTAAGAGTAAACCAGTGCTAAGAATTATTGCGAACTGGCAACAAAGAAATCAATAGTTGTAGTCAATTGGTTAGTAGACAAAGTCAATAGACAAGTGTTGACGAGCTGGAAAACTTCAGAGGGAAGAATATGTTGCCTAGCTTGCAAACGAATAAAGTGGACATTGTGTTGTGAGCAGAAAGATCTCAACTTCGACGACTTCGTGATTTGTAAAAATGGGTCACTCGTGTGTCCAAGCATTCAACTACGCGTAAGTGTGGCTGTTTTGAAAGTAAAGATGATGCCATTCGTAGGGCTTAGTACTTCTACTTTCAGGTGGATGCATCACTCCAAATTACCGCCGTGGTTTCATTGCGGAGTTATTGAATGGAAGTCATCGTGGTAACCCGGGCGACGCGCGTCAGAGCGATTGGCGCTTTATTGGTGCTACTGATCCCACCACCAGATAACGATTCAGTTCCTACTCAATTGCTATTTCTTTTTCCTAGCTCTCACTTCTATTAGGGTATTCGGTTCGCAACGACCTGTCCGTCAGTTTTAAAATAAGATCACACCGATCAATCTCTTCAAATCACCAAAATACATAGAAGCCAATTTTGCCTAGTTAAAAGGCTAGCAAAATGGTTCTTTTATAGTGTATTCATATAATATGAAGTAAACAAGCGTTTTCCTAAACCTTCATTGTTATAAATGAGGATGTTATGAGTAAAAGAAGCTATTTGCAAAACTTTCTCAAAAAGTTTACATACATGCTCCTATTTTTATGTTTGTATTTCTCTTTAAGCATGTGTTATATAACGCCATCCAATGCAGCAATAACAGTTTACAATGTCTTTAGAGTCGTCTGTCCCCGATCACCTTGTTCAGCGTCACAAGTGACAAGGGCGGGGACCACTCTATCTGCCACCACCCCCTGCTGACCTGCCCAGTGGACTCCGCTCGATTGAGTGACACGAACAGCTCTACAACTTTGGTATGACGCATTTTTCTTACTGTTTTTCACGATATGGTAGCTATGCCTTCTACATAGGATTATTTCTAAGTTTCGCTTACGAATAAAAATGGCAATGTATAACTTTTTATACATCGCCTCATATTTTTTCTGGACAGTGTGTTATGTGAAATACAACCGCGATGTTGATGAGATATTAGCATAAACTCAGACCCAAAGCCTTATTCTAACCCGCCATAAATTTTAGTGGGGGCCTACATGTTGCCAACTGCACCGCAGAGCTCTTTGCTTTGCCTTTCTTTCAGCCAGTTTTTTTTACTCTAACGGTGCCGTCAACAATTATCTGTCAACGGGAATGATCTGGGGATCCGAAATCGGCATAGAAGCAAGTTAAGCTTGTAGTTAAAACCACGATGTTTAACTTTTTATTAACTTCCTATTATTCCTTCGTAGCAGTTCATTATGGGAAATGCGACCGCAATGAGGCTGAGATATTTGCAAACCTCAGACTCTAGGCCGGAGTCGAACCCACTACTACGTTTTTCGGTGGATCAATTTTGGTGTTGTCTTCTCACAATGTCAGAAATGACAGAAATTAGCAGCTCGATACATCAGTGGGCGAGTCATTGTAGAGGCCAGATATGCATTCAATCACCTCTAAACGATTCTTGGTGAAGTCGAATGCATGGCGCATCTCTCAGGGATTGATGAACGCCGAGAGCTTTATCCTTTTTTTTAATCGGGCAGTTACTGTTAGTTGTGGAAAAATCGGCATCGGAAGCTATGTGTTAAGTAGCTGTGAAATTAGCGCAAAATATTGGCTTTTGCTTTGAACGTATGTATCAATTTCAGGAAAAAAATGCGTTGACGTTCATGGACGTCAACATGTAAACATAGCATGGAGTCCGTAGACCGAACACTGGTAGCTACCCAAAATCTACTTCAGGCCCTAGAAAAGGTTTCTTCTACCTTTTTCTAAAATAAGGGTTTGATACAGAAGTAGGATTAAGGTTGATGTTCTATGCAACATACTTGTCGATTGGTTATTTAAGACCATACACTAGAATAAAGAAAAAGCGAAACTTAGCTTGGTCCTGTAGTGATGGTCTTCGTTTCAACCGATGGAAAAGCATCATACATTGAACCGAAATCAATGAAGAACACATGAAGCAAAACGTCTTCGAGACTCACTAATACGCCTGAGATTTTTGGCCATATTCCAGCGTGTATTTATTGAATTCCTTGCCTTTATACCTACATGAGGTTTAAAGTCTGTTACAATGAAGATGATGGTTATTTTGAACATTGTACTTCTCAAAGTAACCGATTTTATAGAGCTGAAATGTTAACAGCTTTGACAAAGGATTTGTTTTAGCTCAATGTATGATTCTGCATAAAGTACCAATTTATGTACCGTATTGCTGAAATTTGTTACGGTCAGTAAACTGTAGCATCACTAAAAAATAATGTTGTGTCAACATGTTTTCAATTTTCTTTCAACTCTTAGTGTTTATATTGACATTACATATTATGATGATGGTACTACATAATTTAGGACAGATCACTTCTCAACGATGCATTCTTTATGCAAAAGTTGGCATACCTCCGTATTAAACACAAGGAAACAAGCGACTTTCTGGCTCGGCTCCAGCGAAAACCGTCGACAAGCCACTCGTGTTGTAGTGCTATATGCCAACTAAGGGATCTACCTCCACCTATTAGCGAATGTACCCCAAAAGAAGAAACTACTAGAAAACCGATTGCAAGAGATGCCAGAGATGTACTAAATTTGGCTGCGAAGAGCAGGGTTAGAAAAAGGGAAGAACTGGCAAGGGTTCGGCATCAGCGAGCATCTCTAGAGAAAGACGAAGTAATTGTGAGGTAGGAAGAAGGAAAGTTTCTTTAAAACCTTCCCAGAGGTTATTTCTGACTTCTTAGTTTCCAAAGTAGCTGGCGTGTTCGTACTGTATCTAAATTTCATGTTGTTCTTTATGGTTCCACACTTCGATTTTGGTAACTGGGAAGTAGATTTGCTAACGTAAGGATTACAGCATTTATTACTTATATTGTCGTAATATATACATATATATATGTATTATTAATGTTGGTCCACCAGTGATTTACCCAGGTACTTTCAAACTTTATTTTCTCATCTAAAGCATTTACTCTTAGATAACAACATTTCAGAGAAAGCGCCGGTCAGAAACGACTAGACGGTGAAGTGCCTAAAAAAGCCGTAAAAAAAGGTAATTGTGACGTATTATTTTTTCGGTCCTTTTTTCAAGAATCCATTTTTTTCATGGTAAAACATGCAATAAAATCTTCTAAACCCACATTTATCGGTCCGTAAAATCAGAGTTTGATGGTGAAAAAATACAGTTAGGAGCCAGAGAGAGAGAAACAGTAACCGAAAGGTTAAGAGATTTTCTTTCTAGATGAAAGAATTAATCCAAGATATATTTGCAAAACTTGTACCCTAGAACAAAATGAACCATGAGTACTCTTTCCGAAGGTTTACGTGTTATGCACTTGATCACTTAGACCCTTGCTTTGCATTTCAGCCACTTTTTTTTACTTACCTAACAATAATAGGAAGTAAGTAAAACCAACAATTTACCGCCTCATCGTGGCTGAGAGGTATTCCTGGGTGTCGGGCTGCGATGTACAGTGGTGGGATCCATCTCTCCGGCAAGGCCTCCCAAGCTGAGAAGGAGTTTGGCGTTTCCACCGGGAAAACCAGCTATGAGTATACCAGAACCCACCACCGTCCTGATACCAAGCTGGTCGCATGGTGGCAAATCTCTCTCCGATCCATAAGGGGGGCGATGACAGAAGGCGTTGGTGGTTACCTGAGAAAGGCTTTGCCTAAGTTGACCTCGAGAGTCCAAGGAACCACAATGGCTAAACTAGGAAAACTCTGAAAATGTAGAAATTATGCTGGGACCCACACAACGGGTGAGGACGGACCATGCAAGTATCCAAGTAAGAAGGAAAATAAAAAGTTAACATTGTGATTTCTGCCACAAACCTGACCTCGTTAAGCCTGGCTAGCCTCAACTAAAAAATTAACACTAATCCAAGATATTTCATATCTTGTGTAGTTGCTCTTGCTCCAAGAGGAAACTGCTTCTACCCTAAAACGGGATCACGAGGAAATTCGACCAAAAGTGTTTTCTAGGTTTGATCAATGCATATTCAGACTTCCGCTTTCAGGAATTTTAAGATCTCATACAAAGAAGCTATCGCATTCCAACCCCAGTATAGAAATCCGCGATCCAAACATGGCTAAACCATCGACATCTTCAGAGAAACAGAGTATTGCTTCCGAACCGAAACCTGATCCCATCCCACGAACTACCGTTCCCGTGCCATTTAAATTCTCCACGAGGTTTGAAAGCTTCTTTTAAGATTTCAATAATCCTTTCCCTTTCTTGATAGTGCAACAATGAGGGCGATGGATTAGGTTTGTTCTATCATTTTTTGGGTCACGAATTGAACCACAGTTCGTGTTTCTCAATACTCCTCTGTGCGCCAATCCTTTCATGCTTAAATATTTTCACATACGGTTCTGTGAGGTGAAATTCGTATCCATTGTCCTGCATTTAATGGCTCAATTTCGCGGGGACTCTATTCGGTCAGGAAACAAGACGACATAATTTTCTCACTTAGTGAAGCAATATGACTTGGTCTGATAGTATTCCTGTAGACACATAACACTCACGGGACTGAGTAACTCCGAGCTGATATCGTGACCTACCAGCCACATTATCTGCCCTACTCAACAAATCTTTCCATATGCACCAGTGATCTTATCGCTAACATTCTTTATCGCTAATAGTCTTTGTTCGTTGCATTCTTTTTAGCTCATTATTTCGAATTGTATTCAGCTCTTGTCTCAAATATTCGTAGATGGGTCACTCAACGATGGTCATTCACAATGTCGTCAAATTTTATTTACTGCCTACTAATTTTTAATGGCAGAGTATTATGTAAAATATAACAACAATGTTGGTGAGATATTTGCAAAACTCCGGACCGCAGGTGTCTGCGGTAGAGACCAAACACGCTATTACCGTCTCCGGGGGCTAACGCATTCACCACTACACCATGCGGATCCTTCGTTTCGCCTGCATCTTAGCTAGTTTTATCCTTTAATACTCTGCCATTAAAAATTGTAGGAAGTAAATAACAAGTCCAAATTGTGATTATAACCACAGCCTCAGCTTAACTGGGTTCATTGCCGATTAGGGCTTCCCAGATTAATCCCGCTGATGGGTGATTGGTGACGGCACTGATCGATAGAAGTAGCTTATAGACAGGCGAACTCACATGGTATGGTGGTGAACGCGTTACCCTCGGAAAGGGTAATAGCGCGTTCGGACTCCACCGCAGACACCAACGGCCCGGGGTTTTGCAAATATTTCAGCGATGTGGTTATATTTCACATAATACCCTGCCACTAAAAATTATTAGGCATTAAATAAAAATTTACGATATTGTAGTTTATGCCACAGCTTCGGCTTAGGTAGGTGTATGCCGATGTGCTCCCAAGATCAATCCGTTGGTGATTGCTGACAGCGCCAAAAGCTCAATAAGGCGGCTGAGAGACAGGCGAAGCGAAGGACTCGCATGGTGTGGTGGTGGACGCGTTACTCCCAGGAAAGGGTAATAACGTGTTCGGTTCCAACCGCAAACACCAACGGTCCGGAGCTTTGCAAATATCTCTGCAACATTATTACGGTCATTCACTTGAGCGTACGCTTTAGGAATATTTTCTTTCTCACGGGCAGACGTGTAATCCTTACGCACAGAAAATGATTAGCGTTATAAAGACGACATTATCTTGGAAGTGATCGTAGCAGCTTGACTGGGTGCAATCGACTTTCAGTCGTGTAGGAATGAAGATAGACACACGCAGTTGTCGAGTAGATCGAAGTCATAAACGTTTTTCTTGATAGCAACCACAAGAATGTTGAGATATGAGCAAAACTCAGAATATTAGTTGGGCTTAGAAACCACAACATATATATACATGTGTATATACATATATACATATAAATATGTATATTTTGTTTTTGACGGCGCGCGAGTCACGTAATTGTTAGAGGTGCCCCTGCAATACAAGTGGGATCGATCACTACGTCTCACGCTCTCCAAACTTTCCACCTCTCCGGGGTCGGTGAATTGGTACTAAACTTGTCCTGGAGGATAAGAGGCTTGACTCGATTTATCGGTAGGCCACTGAGAGTCATTGTATAAGGCAGATATACGTTCATTAATCTTCAACGATGCTCAGTGAAATCAAATGCATTACGCATCCCTCAAGGGTTGCTCAACGCCGAGAGCTTCATCTTTTACCCTATACGTTGTTTTCGATGTTTCTAGATGTTTTCAGTTTTCTTATTCCTGAGTTCCAAATGTCAGAGGGAATAGGACAGCTTGGATTACAAGTTGCTATAAATGACATTTAAGTAATTTTGAACGTAGAAAGCTTATTACCATATTCATGTGATTTAAAGTCGTTATGTCGTTATGCCTCCCAACGGTTTACCGCCTCATCGTGGTTGGGAGGTATTCCTGGGTGTCAGACTGCGATGTACAGTGGGGAATTCATCCCTTGGCAGGGTCTCCCAAGCAGAGAAGGAGTCCGGCGTTTCCATCAGGAAACCTAGCTAAGAGTAAACCAATACCAGGATCCACCACCGTCCTGGTATCAAAGTCGCATGGTGGTAAATCTCCTCCTGATCCACAAGGGCTGCGACTGCCCGTGGTGGTGAAAACCTGGAGAAGACTTTGGCCAGGCTGACCTCGGGACTCTAGGAAACTATAATGGCTTAACCAGCAAATCTCCGAAAAATGGAGATTATGCTGGGGCCCACACAACCAGTGAAGACATGCTATTCAAGTATCAAGTATCAAGTAAAGTCGTTATGACCTTATATTGAATCCGTCAGACATGTCGTGACAGTGAATTCGCCAGTAATGTTGTGTATAATGTATGGTTTTTTTCTATAACTTAATTCTTCATCAAAAAGGTCGATTGCGCTTTTGTCCCATATTGATGTTAAGACGTGGGAACAAAGGCTGTCAAAGAATGTGTTGTTCTGCTTTTCTTCTACAGTAAGCATCCTTATCGAGGTATCGTAACGTGATCCATATTCGAAAAAAAAGTTTTTTAAAGTCTTATAAAAGTCTTGCAGAAAGGCCTTTCTCCTTTTATTTGAGAATACGAAAAATGTTCTCTGAGCTCTTGTTGTCTGGTCACCAACGAAAATTTCTAAAATATCCGTATCATGTATCCGTTGTAGCTACAAAGTGTCACAACAGGCCCTACCCACTCTACAAAAAGTGATATAGGGTTTTCTATTGGATGTAGCAGAAAGGTGACCCTGATATTAATCTCCGTGCTTTAAATACTTGCAGAGTGTATTTTTCATGGTTGGGTATTATGTGTGATACATCCATAATGATGCTGAGATATTTGCAAAACTCCGGACCGCAGGTGTCTGCGGTGGGGAACGAATGCGATATTGTCCTTTCCGGGGAGTAACGCGTTCACCACCACACCATGCGGGTCCTTCGTTTCGTGTGTCTCTCAGCTAGTTCTATTGATCTTTTTGTCAGCAGCAATCACTCGTCGGCGGGGTTGATCTGGGGAGCCCAAATCGGCATTCAACCCAGTCAAGCTGAGGCTGTGGCCGAAACCGCAATGTTAACTTTTTTATTTGCTGCCTATTATAAATTTTCATGGCAGAGTATTACGTGTGGTACAGCGACAATGAGATATTTTTGCAAAATTCCGGACTGCAGGATCGAACACGCTAGCTCCCGGAAAGGTTAACGTGCTCGTTCCGCTGCAGACACCTGTGGCCCGGAATTTTGCAAATATCTCAGCACCATTGTGGTTATTTGCAGAATTTTTGCCAAATTGATGTATACGATATAATCTCCACAGTACAACTACATTCTGCGTGCACATGTCCACGTCCAGTTTTTTCTTCGAAATTTTATAACTTTTTTGAAATACAACACAGGATATCCATCATAAGATTAAGATCCTTTCATATATTCATAAATATGAATAGAATGCCCTGCCACATACGACATTTTATCCACAATTATTATGATTCTGAAGTAACAAAAATTGTCGATTTGCTTATCCCAAGTGGATTATGAAGGTCGGTAACAAATGGCAGTGACAAACCCAAGAAATTAATCTGATGGGGTTCAGCTTAGTGAGATCCCCGTTCCGTAATCGGGACATTGGTGAATTTCACATCAGCTATACATACCATGGAAAGAATTCGTTGGTGCCATTCTCGACTTTGCTAAAATTTTGAAGCGTCACTGCTCTAGACTTCAAACTTAGATGTTTAAACCTTTACATAACAATAATACTATATATACACTAGAAGCATACTAATGCGTAGTACTAACATAGCAGTTAGCAATGAGGTATATAAATGTATGCACATAAGATACACAGTAGTGTATGCGGCTGGTTTTGACATATTCATTGAAAGACTCATAGAAAGCGGTGAGTGTACGAAGAAGCTATCTGTGTTAAGTGTGATTGAAATCTTTGTTCAGCATTTTCCCTGTTTGGTTAAGGAGCTGCTTGGCTAGGTGGATTGCGGTCAGCTTGAGCTTTGCAGGTTCTAAGAAAGGGGAAATCCGCCGAAACGTCAGCTTGTGCGTATATAAAAAAATAAAACAGCACTTTATGTTTACAAGACAGAAATACAAGAAATAGAAATTGTTCGATCAAAGCTGAAGTTAATAGAAAGTCGATCGTGGGAGAAAGATTTATTCTGCTTAGAACAAGGTTCTTCGATGAGATCGACCAATTACTAAGTCGGAGGATCTTAGACGAAGTGCGCCACTGTGATATCGGCTGACAAAAATTCCTTGTAAAGTTTTTCTTCCAAAATTCACCAAAAAATAAAAGTACTTTCTTCATATAGAGGTCTGGCGTCTGTTAATTTGGCGGCAATACCTCTAGTGGGAGATTCCACTCTTGTGAGTATCGGCTAAACTGATCACGAAGCCGCGTTACAGAAACGTTCTAATTGAAGCTTCTCAAATAATTAACGATAGTTGCATTGGTTACTAAAATTTTTTCCTTTAGTCCTATTAATTTTTACTAATTTGCTAGTTTCTCATTTCACAAATGTTATGATTTCGCTCATCAATTCTGGGTCTATAACCAAGACTTCTTTCTTAATGAGTCCTTTTTTTTCAGGAAACCGATAGTGAATACGTTTTCTACTAAATTTGTAGAGGAGATGATTGCCAGAAAAAAACAAGAGGAGGAAGAAGAAACTCAGGGCAGTAAACCAAAGCCGTAAGTGGGAGTTAGCCCTTAGGTACCATTTGCTGGATGGAACGTTTAATATACGTATTATAGCTTCAAAGCCCACGCCGTTCCAAAGTCGACCTATGTGCCCACAAATCCTAGGGTGGCGGACCAGGCCTATGTGGAGGTCATAAACTTCAATTTTTCATAGAATTCATCGTAAATGTATCATAAAGATGTCAGTTAAATAAATGAACAGTGGATGGCGTAAGGAAGAAGCAGCAGGAAAAGTCCGGAATAACAATATAAAAATAATATATGCAGGGTAAATATAATTGAGCAAATAGAAAAATACACTTATTATTTACTGCTATATTCGCCTGTGGGCGTGTATGGCGCAGTGGTCGGAGGCACCCTGCAACACACATAGGATCAATCCACGCACCCATGGCCTACCAAACCTTCCATCCCTCGGGGGTCGGCAAATTGGTACCAGACTTGTTTGGGAGGATAGCAGCACCGGCCTGATACATCGGTAGGCCACCGCGAGTCATTGTAAAGGCCAGATATGCATCCGGTCACCTCCAAACGATGCTTAATGAAGTCGAATGCATGGCGCATCCCTCAGGGATTGATCAACGCCGAAAGCTTTAGCTTTTTATATTTATTTTTCAATGTTAACTTTTTCACTTACTGCCTACTACAGTTTTTAACAGCAGGTTATTGTATTTGGCACAACCACATTGACGCTGAGATATTTGCAAAACTCCGGACCCCAGGCGTCTGCTGTGGGGAACGAACGCGCAATTACCCTTTTTGGGAGTTAACACGCTCACCGCCACACCATGCGAGCCCTTCGTTTCGCCTCTCTCTCAGCTAGTTCTATCGATTTCCCACCACAGACACCTGCGGTCTGGAATTTTGCAAATATTTTGGCATCACTGTGGTTTTGTTTGCTAATAAGAAAGCCTAATTGGAAAACAAGTACTAGGGACGGAAGAGTACAATAGTAGATTCTGCAAAAACGGCCTCAAGTTCACTATAATCCGATCACATTTCTAAGGAAACAAGTGAGATTTTTTTTTTCTAAAGATGAAGCACAGCATAACCAACTCGCTAATTTTAGGCCGGCTCTATAATGTTTATTTACTTGTCTACGAATCGCTATATTTAGGCAATTCGGAGACGATTGGCAGGAAATCTGCGGAAGCACTTCCAACAGGCATTGTTGGCAAGAAAGTCGAAAAGCATGGGTGACATTGCAGGTCGTTTTCTTCATTATGTAGGACTATCAGTGGCGAAATGTTAAAAGAAAAACACATATTCCATTGTGATTTTTCACAGACCTGCAAAAAGTTTTCTTTAGTTATTTATTTAATTTTTTTCACTGGACTTCACATATTGTGAATTTGAGCATATCTTTCACTCAATTAGTTCTCTAGTAGCCGTAAACCATAAAGCCTTTGGAATTTGTATATGGGTTCAACTACTAATTGAGAACCTTGTTTATTTGGTGAGTATCGTTGAATTCTGATAGAGTAGATTGCTTGGAATCCAGGGTAGGGTCATTTGAAAAGAAAAACCTATCTTTGGCTATTCTGAATGAAAAGAAATTTTTTCCAAGCATTTTGGAGTCAATTTGCGGACTTCCCGGAAATTGCGTTTTTGGTTGATCCGGGGGGGAGGGGTAGTGGATCGAACCCTGCATTCATTGCACGGTATCTCTAACCACACACTGCTTCTCGCGTCCCATTTTTATTTATTATTAGAGATATCAAACAAACTTTAAACCTCTTTTAAAATATCAACGTGCCGGCAAAGCGTCCGATTTTTCAAGGTATAGCTGCTCGACCAGTACCACTATCGACGTACTTGCCTCCGTTGAAGCTTCCTGAATATCGTCGAGCTAGAAGTGCTGGGCATAGGGCTGTGAAACTATTAACGGAGGCAAAATCCCCGCCCAATGTTAAGGTGCGTGTTCAAGTACTGTAATTTCCAGTAACAGTTTCGTAGCACTCTTTATTTCGAGCCATTACGATAATTCTTGGAATAAATATGCTTTAGCAAAGAAAAATCAGGATTTAACACTGAAGACATTTTTTGAGACGCTTTATATCGCAGAAATACTGCCAACGCCACCGTATAACACCGTATTACTTTTGTTGGAAACGCTCTATGTCGCAAATTATAGCATTCCAAATCCTAGTGTTTGATTAAAGTCGTGAATTTTTCTACCGTACATAATTTTATTTGATTATGTGATGGAGTTGGCGACGCATGGTGTTGGTTAACAACAGCTCAATCATCAGACCCCGCGTCACAGTTGTATACATCCGCATTCGCCTGAAAACTTGCAGGAGCACACAATTCGAACCCGTGTGTCCACAAAAGTACGACACTCTCAATGCGCTGGAAAAGAGAATCATGAAAGATTACGTCGTCAGCCAGTGCCTGATTTTCAGAAACTGCACGCTGAGGTAGAGTGAGACAACATGGACATTTGCAAAAAACTTTTTGTTGTTGCAAGAAATCCAACATATCCAATAAGTGGTTTGCTATCTTAATATCCGGTATTGAAACGAATATATGACTTTGTATTTCAGTTAGAAGAAAGGATTAAGAAAGCATCTCACATGCCTGTGACGATTCCACGACCATTTCGTCTTACTAGCTCAGAGACGCACCTTCATCGGAAGGTAGAGTGTTAAGTTTTGTGTTTTTGCCACATAAACTTTTCATCAATCTAATACTAAAACTCAAAAAGCAATGTTTCATATCAAAAAAGACACTAGACAGAATAATGTTTAAAGGAAAAGTTCTAAATGTTCACTATGTCATCGAAACTGGACCTTGTACTATGGTACTGAACGCAGCGTGGAGTGTGAGTTTCAACCTCATAAGGTGTTGCGAGCTGAAAATTCCATTTTTTTGCCTCGCAGCCTTGCTAAGTGAGCGCATGCCATTGCTGTCCTGCCAAATCTAGGCAAGCAGCGTATGATAGTTTATTACTAAAAACTGGTGGAAAAGGCACTAAACAAGAAGGACTGTAATCTTCGAGCCTCTTGAGCGAATTGAGATGACAAGGAAACCCTAATGGGCGACAAATCGCAAAGCGTGGTTTTTATTTAATTTCTATCTTGCTGATTGGAGTAGTTTTTACTTGATTTGGCTTTGTGAGAATTCCATGCCTTGGTTTCGAACTCGCGCACAGTCGTACTTCGATTATCTTCCATTCATGAAGCAGCGACTTCAGATATTAGAATGTAGTGGCCATTTAAATCCATAAGCATGCACTCCTTTGCGACAGTGTAGTGAGCACGCTAATGATAAGGTACACTGATAAACTACAGGAACGAAAGGTTAAAGAGGTTTAAAAAAGATTAAAAAGATCAAAAGGTTAAAAAGGGATTTACTGATTCAGTGCAAGTCTTCATCTCCGCCACAGCGGCGCTCCAGAAATATACGACGAGTATCGCGAGAAAACATTGTCGTAAGGCCTACACATTCTTCGAAAATTCGTTTAGAAGCTGCGAGGTAACTTTAGTTGAGGTAGTTGTGATTAAAGCGATGAGAAATATTTTAGAAAGCGTCAGGAAAGATTCAACATGGATCGCAACCGTTCTGAACGATTCTGGGAAGATAAAAGAGACGAAATGGTATTGAACCGGTTGAAGGTGCTCTCCTCGATTGGTTCTGTTGGAAATCTCAACGAGGAGATCGAGAGAAAAACCGCCGAGAAAAGGTGATTTGAATAGATAGCCGATATTTTTAGTTTAGTTAAATGATAGATTATTTTAGAATAAGCTATTAACTTACTCACTTACATAGGTACTTGGACGGTCCGTCTTCACGAGCTGTGCAGACCCCAGCACATATGCCATTCGTTCGTTTCTCTCGCAATCGCAGTCCATGGTGGTGGTCTTGTTCGAGCATGGCAGCGCTTGCGTGTCTCACACCATGACCTGTAAAACAACTACAGCTGCGGGTACAGCTGATTAACTTTGTTTAGGAACACGTCCGCCCAAAGTGTAGGTGGTCGTCCAAGGGAAGTTTACATTCTCTTGGAGTCCACTCTACTGTTCTTTTCGTCCACCTGTCGTCTGTTCTTTTCATTATGTAACCAGCCCATCTATGTTACGCTGTCGACGTATATTCTCCTGGATCTCGAAGATTTCAGACTTTCAGATTTCGAAGATCAGAGCTTCGCATTCCGGCTAGATATTGAGAGTGCCGGTTATATTTTAGAAGACATCGCTTAAGCGCTCTGTGAGTAGTTCGAAGTATTCTGAGTAGTTAAAGTATCAACCCACGTCTCTGCAGCATAACAGAGCGCTGGGAGGACTGTAGTATCAAAGAGATGGCGCGGATTTTTGGGTCCTTAAGTTGGTTAGTGGCTTCTCTTATAGGCTCGAATGCGGCTCAAGCTGCTCTCCTTCTTCTACCTAATTCCTCCTTTATGTTGTTTTCCATGTTCATTAATCGCCCAAGGTATACGTATGAGGTGGTCTCTGCAATGAGAAAGTCAACCAATTCAATTTTTTCGCCTTCGCACCATGGGTTTTTCATGAGCTGGGTCTTGTTTCGATTTATGCACAGTCCGCTCTTTTTCCCGCTTCGTTGAGCTCGTTGATCATCACCTCTGTTTCGCTGCTATTTTTTGAGAAGATGACAATGTCGTCGACAGAACGAAGGTTTGATAGGAACATTCCATCACTGCGTACGCCTTTCTCATCACAATCGAGTGACTTCATTATCCACTGCAGTGCGGCACTGAACAGCTTTGGCGATACTGTGTCACCCTGTCGAGCCCCTTTTCCTATAGGTATTGTAAGAGGTCGATGGAAAAGTTGTATTTTCGTAGTGTAGTTCCGAAAACAGTCGGAAAGAGTGCTTATATAGGATGGGTCCACTCCATGGTCGATGAGCGCTGATAGGATTGCACTCGTTTCGACACTGTCAAACGCTTTCTCATGGTCGATAAGGGTTAGGGCTAGAGGCAAGTGGTATTTCCGACAAACTTCGATGACCCCTGGACGCAGTTTGGATGTGGTCCATGCAAGAAAACTCTTGTCGAAATCCTGCTAGCTCCATTGGTTGCGCCTCAACCACTGCCCTTGATATGCGCAAGAGGACAATCTTCGTGAGGAGCTTGCAGAGTACATTCAACAAGCATATCGGGCAATAGTTAGGAAGGTCGCTTCAGTCGCTTTTCTTGGAAAGGGTGACCGTGCGTGACGTCCTCCACTGGTCTGCGATTTTTTCCTTTTGAAGGTAGCCTGTCATATGATCTGCGAGAATTACATGTAAATTGTGGCCTCCGGCTCTAAGAAAATCTGCAGTGATATTATCGGGTCCTGGAACTGTGCCTCTTTTCATGCTTTCTATCACAACTCGAACCTCCGACGGAACAATTTCAGATGATTTTTCTCCACCGGGGATATTAGGGCCCGGGACGGGGATTGAAGAGCGGAAAAGATTGGTGTGGAACGTCTCCGCTATTAATTCCTTGTCATGGCAGGAACTTTTGACGATTCCATCTTCGCTCATCAGGGCTGACAGGGAAACATTATAGTCATACAAGTCCTGACGGCACTTTTTCAGACTGCTTCTCTTCTCTGCTGCTTCCAGTATTTTCCTCTGCTTGTACCGTTGCAGATCTGCCTGCAAAGCTCTTCTGCAGCTGGCATTTATTAACAGCCATGTTAAACGTGTTGCAGTAGGATCAAGCTTCAATTTCCTTCTCTTTTCGAGCAACATTTTAGTAGTGATGGAGATGCGATCCGTTCTACTTGCTTGAAGAACTGAGGCAAATTCGGCACAGCTTTTCAGTCCTTCGACGAGCAACTCGTAGTCTTCGGTCGGGTCTTCTTTAATCTGCCAGTCACCTTTGGACAGGGCTTGGTTCAGAATCTTCTGGTCGTATACATCTAGACTTTTTCCTTGTGGTCGATGAAGAGATTTCTTTTCCAGCTTGCGGCTGAATCGAATTTTCGCGCGAAGAAGGCGGTGATCGGAAGCAGTACAGAATGACGGGACAACCGATGTCTCAAGTCGGCACCATCTCTTGGTCAGAATGTAGTCGACCTCCGCATGAGTCATGCCGTTTGGAGACTCCCATGTCCAGCGGCGGCTTTATTTCTTCTGGAAAAACGAGTTTCCATGGAGGAGACGCGCTGCCGACAGGAGCTTTGCGAGACGCTTTCCATTCCCCTTTCTTTCTTCTAAAATCTAAAATTTCCGCAATCCAAAATTTCCGCAATCCAAAATTTCCGATCCTATATTTGCTCTCGTTGGTTTTTCCTATTCTGGTGTTGAAGTCTCCAATAAGAAATTTATGATATGCTTTATCATTGCGGATGACTTCCTCCAACTGATAGTAGAACGGATTTAATTCGTACTCATCAGCTGCGTCGGTCGGTGAGTAGCAGTTGATGATAGTGATCTTCTTATGATGCAACAGTTGAAGACGGAGGACGGCTATGCGAGGGGAATGGTTCACGTATGAGTCGACGAGATGGACAATGGTCAGGTGGACGACAAAGCCTACACCACCAACATTTCGTGACGGGACCTTTTCTCCACGGATCACAAGGGTCCCGTTGTTTAGTTGGCGTATGTCGGTCTTCCTGATTTTTGTTTCTTGTGATGCGATCACATGAAATTTGATGCGATCTGCGGCTACAAGAAGGGCGTGAAGATCGCCGTCTGTGGAAAGTGTTCTGGTATTATACGTGCATAGTAAGAAACAATTTCCATGGCGTATCGTGCGTGTGTTCGTCAAATCCGGTTTCAATGACATCCTGCGTAACCCAAGATTTTCTGGCCTCTCACCGGTCGTCTCACCTCCTGAAGTCATAGATGGGAGCATCCAGTGTGCGGGGTACTGAGGCTGGATTATACTGGCCGTGCAACTTGGTTTTCCCAAGAATCCTGACGTAACCTCGCAAGGGCTTATCCAGGTCTTCACCACGATGTGGATCAGAGAAGGGTGTGTTTTCGGCCACGAATCCTTCGCTCGGTCTTCCTACTAGTTGAATCGGAAAGATGTTAAAACCGAAAGCAGAAACGAAACTAGGAATATAAAAGTAACCGACCGCTCAAGGCCGATGTAGAAGCCGTAACGCAGCTATTAATTCTACACCACATTAATAAATATTAGCACTAGTGCCTTAGTTATAACGGAATTCTTACAACACAAGTGCTTATGCTATAAAATGTGGCACTAAGGAGAATAAGATAAAAGGAAAATAAGATTTCGGTAGCCGCTTTTCATTTACCGCGTTTTAATTTTTTCATGACGGAGTACTATGTGGAATATAACCACAATTATGCTAAAATATCTGGAAAATTCCAGACCGCAGGCGTCTGTGGTGGTGATCGAACACGCTATCACTGATTTCCGGGGTCTAACGCATTCATCATCACACCACGCGGGTCCTTCGTCTCGCCTTTCTCTCAGCCAGTATAGGTGCTATCAAAAATCACTTGTAATCATCCGTAAAGCAATAATACACGGCCGAGAGAAATGCGAAACAAGGCGCTCGCATGGTGTGGTGGTGAATGCGTTAGTCTCCGGAAGGGACAATAGCGCGTTCGTTCCCCACCGCAGAGATCGTCGGTCCGGTGTTTTGGAAACATCTCAGTACCATTGTGGTTTCATTTCACATAACTCTACTGTAGAAAGTTTTTGGTAGTCAGCAAATAAAAAGTTAACATGGTGACAATTGTATTCGTGCACCAGTTGAAATTTGTTTATCTATTTTATCATTTATTTCGCTTTCCCACGAATTCTCAATTCAGAAGGAATACAATGGAAGCCACTAGAGATTACGAACGATATTTGGCCGAAATGCAACAAAGGTTAGTTTGTTTTTTTAAATTTCTACTGTCAACTTTAACATTAATTAAGGAAAAGTGCAGGATTATTGATCGGCCATTAATTTTGGAACGACAATCAATAATCGCTCAGAAGCAGAAATTCATTCGAATGTACGATGAACGAATGGCTTCTGTTGGAAAGGTATAAAAAATTTGCACATTATTTTCCAGTTTTAGGTGCTCATTAGATTACTACATCACTTCTTCTTCGCGAGAGGATGTGCTTGGGTATCATGTACGCTCGGGTTTCGCATTTTCATCTAAATGCGCACCTGCTGAGAGTGAACCTAAACAAGGAATCGCCACCCTCCTCCAAAAAACCTACTGCCAAAAATAGGAACGCTCTCTGCCGTCAGTGAGTATCTGTGGTGAAGCTCAAGCAATACACTTACGAAATCGGTACTTCTTTGAAAAAAGCTGATTTAGCAAGCAAGATACTGACAGAATGAGAAGTTTCCTTAGGGCGACTCAAGAACAATCAAGTATGAACTCTGAAAACGTCTGTTTGAATTCGTTTAATAGAGTAATATGTGGTTCGAGGTATAGGTTTACTCTTAGCTGCGTTTACGTGCCCTACTCATCGTCCTGATCCTGCTTGGGGCAAACTACGAGTGGAATAGATCGAGATCCAGAAGCAATCCATGGTCTTTAAAGAACAACGTTTCTTTCAATAAAGGATGTAATACTTTATAAGATGTTATGGTTTTAAGGGTCCTATTAGAAGCCAGAGTGACCTAGCAAAACGACACGATTCCGATTTCTCAGCGGACACGTACTCGATAAAGTCAAAGACAGAAGCGGATGCAGCAGAAGTAGGTCTAATGTATTCTTCACCCATTTTTTCTTTGCTTTCACTTTATTTCGGTTGTTTTTTTGGCTTATGTTTGTTTTCGTAAGTTATTGTTTATGTCCCAGCTCATTTTGTGAATATGCCGCATCAAATTCTTTAAAATCAAGATTCGATGATTACAGGAATACCACAGTGATGAGTTTGAAAACGAAAGTGGACCATCGGAGAAGAACAAACGGTCAAGCAGCTCGATATCTTCGTCTGTTGGCACTTCACCCACCACATCACATTCGAAAAGCTCTTCATTGAGTAATACGGAAAGTTCTCCATCGACAAAGCCGACAGCGTTAGAAAACGGCACTTCTTAGCTTCATCAGAAGTTTACGTGTCCACTCTCATTTTACATAGAATTTGTTTCACATTTTCTGCGATTCTAGATGATAACATTTCTTTGCACTCATGCTCACCTACTAATCTGCCATGTTGATGACCTTCCAGATGGTGACTTTATTAGCCACATTTAAAATGTAAAGATGACGAGTGCAAATTTTGTCAGCAAGCGTTTTTTCCGCCAATAAAAATCGAAGTCTTAAAAATCAGTGAACAGAATAGGGATAAATGACATCACTGAATAAGTTACATAGCACAGACCTTAAAGTGACGATAATTATTTGTTCACGGCCGTACTTTATTTGTTAAATTCAACGAAAAATAGTAAGCTGGATTTATTTTTGATGAGCACTGGTAAAAAATATAACATTACCAGCGAAATTAATATAACTTCGAAATGAATAATTACTTGCTTCCTCTGCATAAAATCAAGAGTTTTTAAAACCATTAATCCTTCTGTCTTAATACCAACCACCTGTACCAACCGTAACCACTTCAGTAAACCTACGTTTGGTGTGAGCACCATTAACACTATGACTGACTCATTCGAGCTCAGCCGTTCGAGGCTATCTATTGAATACAAGAAGTGTAATAAAAACCTCTGTGAGCGGTTGAAGTGGTGAGCACCTAATCCAGTACACGTGGTTCGGTTTTTTGTTAACTACGGTTTCATAGAAACTTGAGGAAAGTAGGAGATGTTACACACCTTGACTTCCTCACCAATTGATTCGAATAGATAAGGCGTTAAATAGTTAGTTCATTGATGAGATTAGCAACATTAAATATATTGAAAAGTATTCCTAGATGAGCCTAATACTTCTGGTTTTTAAAGGCATCACTTTGAGACCAAATGCGAACACTAGCGTTTCGGAAGTTTTATTCATAAATTTCATTAATATAATTTCGCTACATTGCTCAAATTCACATGCACCACATTGCGCAGCTCTCAGCAATTTTAGCATTTGATTTATTCTCTCACATACACCATCAAGGAAGGTCTTCGAACTTCTTCCGTGTGGGTTTGGCCGCTGTTTGAAGATTCTTCTTCATCGTCACGAATATGACTAAACGCTAGTCAAGTCCATTCTCTCTGAAATCCTAAAATAGCTGTGTTATAACGTTTCGAGGTGGAACAGTGTAAGTGAGCTTGTCCCAGACAGAATTTGCAGGCCCTGAGGAATGAAAGGCTTGGTGAGACCGAAGTGGGTTCGAACACAGGTCTTGAGAAGGTTCTGCGTAATGAACGGCACCACAACCATTGCGCTACCCTCTTCCCAAAAATAATTAATTTTGAAAAAAGCTCCATGCATTTTGTTGTATCCTAAAAAAGACGGGCTCTTCATCCTTCTAGTCTCGCTCTGATTATGTTGCAAAACTGAACACACCACTCACTATAAGCTCGAGAAAAATTGTTCTGATACCACACAGGGAACATAACAACTCATCAAAAAATGCCAATGTGTCCTAATCCCAACTTAAACTCCCTCGTAAAAACAACACAAATAAAATTAAACAATTATTTTAACTTAGTATTTACTACCTACTCCTTCTAACGGCAGGGTATACATTGTGAAATATAACTTCAATAAAGCTGAGATATTTGAAAAACTCCGGACCGCATGTGTATGCGGTGGAGAACGAACCCGCTATTGTCCTTTCCGGGAAGTAGCGCGTCCACCACCACACCACGTGTGTCCTTCGTTTCGCCTGTCTCTCTGCTAGTTCTATCGACCTTTTGCCATCAACAATCATCCGTCAGCGGGATTATTTCACAACGTATACCCTGCCGTTAGAAAGAGTAGGCAGTAAATAATAAGTTAAAATTGTGATTATAACTGCGGCCTCAGCTTAACTGGGTTCTTTGCCGATTTGGGCCTCCCAGATCAAACCCGTTGACGGGTGATTGCTGATGGCAAAAGATCGATAGAACTAGCAGAGAGACAGGCGAAACGAAGGACCCACGTGGTATGGTGGTGGACGCGGTACTCCCCGGAAAGGACAATATCGCGTTCGTTCTCCACCGCATACACCTGCGGTCCGGAGTTTTGCAAATATCTCAGCATCATTGAAGTTAAACAATTATGTTAAAGATTTTTTAAGAGATAACATCTAGGAATAAATGACATGAAGCAAAGATTTCACATTGCTGTTGCAATCGTTATCGATACACCAGCTTCTTTAATGTCGTTGACAGCCAGTGGAGAATTCGAGAGCTATATCCTTCATCATTTTTAGTGAATATTGAAAAGCGAAAAAAGAAAAAACGATTATGGAAGCGAGAAAGCGTATCGTAAGCTGACTACTTTAAAAGGAAACGTCACCGCATTCCTTAGATAGCATTGAAACTGTTTACTGGAGCTTCCAACCTATGCGCCTTTCTAAAGCACAGATGATCTAGACATGGCTACATGAAAATGCTAAAAATAATGCAAAAGAAATTAAGAGCGGGTACTTAGTAGGTTGCGAGTAACAGGTCTTCCTTGCCACAACAATGAAATTTTCTACAGATCAATTGCAGTTGGCTATAAAAATTACCTATGCAGCGATATAGCACTTGTTCGAGCAGTCCAGCATGCCAGATAAGAAACGATTGCGCAGGCCGGGAATTTTAGACTCGTGAAGCCTATTATTATTATTACATTTCTCGTTGTATTATTCACTTTTAAAAGAACAAAGTACAGAATGATTTCGTGCTAAAGAACAAACGGCATTCTGTGCTTTACACACTGATTGTAAATCGTCGAAAAGGTGAGAATGGTCTTCGGTGATTTGTCCAGCTCAATGAGCTCATGCAAATTTAATCTGAAATAAAGTTTCACATGACTACTGGAAGGATTTGTGTCAATTTGCGTTGGTTAACACAATAAAATACCAACTCACACTAGATCCTCGCAAGGGTGGAAATTTCGCAATGCTGAAGATAATGTGAGCTATTTCTTCTGATGCGCATTGAAAAATTGATCCTATGCGACAAACCAAGGAGCGCGAGTGGCGCAATGATCGGAGGAGGATCTCCGCGCCCACGGCCACCCAGCCCTCTATCTCTCCGGGGTCGGAAAATTGACGCCAGATTTGTCTGCGATGATAGCAAGAATGGTCGGTACATCGATAGGCCAGCGCGAGTCATTGTAAAGGCCAGATATGCATTCAATCAACACCAAGTGATGGTTATTGAAGTCGAATGCATCGCGCATCCCTCAGGAATTCATGAACGCCTAGAGCTTTATCCTTTTATTTCTTTTATCCAACAAGCAACAGACACCACCGCCTAGTCCACTGCATGGACAGAGCTGAACCTTTATTTATTCCCAAAATCAAATTTCCGTTTCAAGAAAAATATAATTGCTTGCAGGCTGAGTACCAAATCGGAACTCGCTACATCTCCCAAAGCCTATTTTGCACCAGAAGAAAAACATAGCTACTTGTGGTCAGAGTATCAAATCAAAACTCACTACAACTTTCTCAATTTTTCAAAATTTAAATATGTATCGTGACCTCGTCACCGGAAGAGATCAAGTCGTCATTAACGCCGGTGGTCGACCAAACGTTGAACAACTGAAGCTGTTGAAATTGAACAAATTTGACTACGAAACTCGGTCTTATAACAATACTCAACGGATATCTCGCCAGCTTTCTCCAAAAACTCTGGCAACTTCTTGCAGTGAAAATTCGTCAGTAACCAAACTGTTCAAAAAAAATCACCGAAGCGTTCTTCTATCCCGAATATGGTGGGACGGCTAGATTATATAGGAATACCAAGTAGTTAAGATGATTCGGTCGGAGTTTGCTGCTCGCCTTTGTGTATGCCACGCGGGACTTCTTGTAAGTAGCAATCACAATGCCGGAAATCTCAAACTTGGGTAATTAGACCATTTATCATAATTATACAACAATTATGGCATAACAATACAACTGTACAATTAATACAACAATAATACGGGCTGTGAGTAGGCGTAACCTGATCACTGGTGTTCAGGTTGCTTGTGACTGAAGAGATTGGGATAACGGTACAACTGTGTAAATGCAACGATGATATAGGTAATACAATAATGTGTGATATTTGGCGATATGTAAGCAGAGTGGATAAAGATGGAATTGAGATGGTAACAAGTGATATTCGGCGATATGTAAGCTGGGTGGATAAAGGTGGAATTGAAATGATAACAAGTGATACACTTGAAGGAATTAACGCGGACACTGGTGTTGGAGCACTCAGGAATTGAGAGACCGAAAGCAGACCGGTCGAACGCGACTAAGATTTCAGGACCAGTCCTATGGGCTGCTTGTATTACATCTGAAGTGGGTGGAGCTTTGCTAGAGGAAACTGAAGGCGGGGTCCAGAGAGGGGTTGCATGTGGAATGGTGCAGGTGTCTGTTCGGAGACTTTTTTGGAACGACAGATGCTGAAAAGTGCATTCAGCTGGCTGCTGCTGATTCCCTTTCCAGCCACCTGCGAGGCAATTGCATGAAACGGTTGTTAAGAGATGATTTACCGAATGTGCAAGGATAGATGTATGACGATTACGAATAGATAGGTGTTGTAGAAGGCATAAGGTTATAATTGTTATACATAGAGAACATTCCAATATTCGTGGAGAATGTTCTCTATACCGAACTTCAATCTACCGAAACGCTCATTTCGACGTTTACCCCACGTGAGACGTTGTTCGAAAGACGCGCTCGGAGAACGTTTATTTCAAGGCTTTGTGCACGTAAGACTATGTTCGAGAGATCACTCGGAAAACGCCCATTTCGAGGGTTTGTGGACATTTGGCGTTTTTGTGAGTACCACGTCCGGCTTTCTATTGACCTCGGCATTAATCGAATAATTCTTTCTACTTCTGTTCACTAAACGCGAGGTGTTATGCGTAAAAGCCGACGTTATGGCTGATTTCTCCTTTTCAAAGCCTAGAAAGGTCAGGTTCACATCAACCTGTTTGGCTAAACACCTTTTTAGCCGAACTGAGCAGACGCTACT